TCTTGCCCTTTTGTTCTGTCAACGCAAACTAAGCAGCATTGTGTGTTACTTACACCTACGGTATTGACACTGCAACCAATACGTAAAGTGACTCAATTCGATATGAATTTTCAAAATTCTCTTTACTTTTTATTCTCATTAATTATTGATAATGTTTTGAAAACGTTTTCTGTAAAAACATTTATTACCTATCATGTTAGTGGATCTTGTGACATCTTAGCTGTTTTTCTAAAAGTAATTTTTGTCTATCATAAACCCAATTTCTACAACTGATCTCTGATGAGAAATTTCTTTTTAAATAAAAAATAAACAATAAATTTTTTTATTCATTAACGAAAATTTTTGTATTTTTATTGCAAAACCGACTTAGTAGTTCACTTTAGAGAGCAATCATAGGAAAATGGTTCATGACAGATAAAAAATTATTTTCCATAAACTGTTCGTGCGATAATACGGTAGTGACTTTTAAAAAATCTTACTACTATTTTTTAATATTATTGCATATTTTAAGTGTTTTTCTTGCTTTTCCTATTATAAAAATTTATAACTTTAAATAAATAAAAACATTATATATTAGAATAAAACAAAAAATAAATGAATAATTTGACCATAAAAATTTTTGTAGTATAACATAAAAATTTATAATCTAAAATAAATGACAAATAAAATAAATTTTAATTATAAATATTATATCAATTTAAAAATATGTTTTAAATAAATATAATAATAAAAAATATTATTTAAAAAGCAGGTCGACCATAAACATTTTAGTTGTATAGTTTAAAAATTTAAAAGAATTTTATAATAATTTACAAAAATAATATAAAAAATTAGAAAGTGTATATAAAATTTTTATTTTTTAACAAAGTTAACAAATGTCACTCTAGTAATAAACCAGACTATATTAGTCTTTAATATAAAAATAATAATACAATTTTTCTGTCTTTTAGTTTAAAATTAAATATATACCATAAAAATATATTATGTACAAATCATATATGACAATATAACTACATACAATAAAAAAAAATTAACTAAATTGAAGTAATGAAAACACTTAAAAAAATAATTTAAATGCGCAAGTACACGTAAATCCGCGCAAGCCCACACAACAGTTTAGCTACACTGCAAAAAAATTGGATTAAAAATAATTTGATAAAATCTTTATGGGATAAAATACGAAATTGCCAGTAAAAGTTGAAGAAATTGCCTTCTCGCGTGCATTGTGTTTAGGCCAGAAATGGCAGTTGTGAGCCGAGCAACGCTGAAAAGTGTGAAGATCTGCGTAAGTTGGACATTTTTTTCTATATTTCACGGCAAAATACGAGAAAATTTCATTGTCACTTTGTTGCGAAGACGCATTTAGTTAAGGCTTAATTGAAAAAAGAAACAATAAGCAAAAACAAAAACAAAAACAAAACTATTATTAAGAAATTACACAGTACACATTGAACAAAATAAAATAAAATTATTATTTTTATTTTGTATGCAAAGCGCGATGCGACGCGATACGATACGATACGGTACGATGCGATCTGGTGCGATGGGATTTCTTGTAGGCAGGGAATCAAAATGCAAGAAATGTCAACAACAACGATTTTTTATATTATTTTTTTGGGTGTGTTTATGGTAATTTTGTTTGGGGAAAATTTGAATTTTTATAAAAATATCTAGAAATACTCTTACGTACATGTTTTCATTAGATATATTACTCTTGCTTAGTAAAGAAAAAAATTAAATTCCCTTAATTTACGCGTACTGCCATGTGTCTCAGTGAAGTAAATTGATTGCCTTTGTAGACATCGTGGATTGTTACGATTTTAATTAAAATACCTGACGGTATTAATAAATTTATGTTAACTATTGAAAGGTAAATGTTGTCTACCAGTAGACACAGAAGTTGAGAGGTACTATCAATAGACATTAAACTAGTCTGAACTTATTGTAATTATTTGAAAAGTAACTTACTTTTTTAAAATACTATATTTTTCATTATATCAATTTTACTATTTTTTTTTTAATATTTATAAGCTTTTATATTTCAATATCGGAAACAGTTGTATTAAAGCTTGGTTAGCACAAGTATTCACTTGATTTAAAATTTCATTCCAGAATTCAAAAATTTCCATACCTCTATATCCCTCTTTTAAAAGATGATATGTTGATTTCTTATCATAAAACAAAACTAATGTTATGGTAATGTGTAATAATAATAAAATTATATTAATTACACATAGATTAATGGAGCAGTTTATTTTAAAAAAAGAGTCCGTCAATTTAAACATTCATACCCATTATAGAAAATCTCAAGTAAAATTTTGGTGTTCTACATCATCAACGTGTTTAATTGCTAATGGCTGAATACATTAGAAATACTTATGTTTATAAAGTCATGTCTACTTAAAAACCGTCTACTTAATAATAATTGTCTTTCAGCAAGCAATAATCTGAATCTTCTCTGAAAGAAAATGGATCTCGAAATAAAGAGTAATTAGAAGCGCTTTTGATATGTCAACAGTTTTGTTTTACCTAACATTATTTTCTCTTTATGCTCTTCACTCCTTGTAAATACTATATATATAAAACTGTTTGTTTTGTCTTATTACTACATCTATCACACAGAGAAAGTCGTATTGCTATATATATATATATATATATATATATATATATTTCATACTGAACTAGATCGTGAACTAAATCAATTTCTAGTTCAGCACTTTGTTGTTGTTTCGAATGCATATTGACCAGATTATATCAGTTAGTTAGTTAGTTGGTTATTATAAATTATTTATATATCTCTCTACAACTTTACTAGTTTTATGTAACCTTTGAGCTCAAGTGGGTTTTTGTAAACAAGACCGGCAATTTATAAATAATTAAATAATATGGATGCAAACAGTAATGGAAAATATAAGTAAGTCGTGTGTCGCAGTAGAGAACTACTATCCTACTTACAAATAATATTATAACGTTGATCGCAAAGAAATGCTAGTTCTATTGTGCTAATTGTAAGTATAAGTTAAAGTATGTAAAAGTTATTATTATTTTTTAATATGAAAACTATATAAAGTATTATTGCTTTGCATTACTAATATTTGAAAAGAGACAGTAAAAATGAAAACGCTGAGAAAAAGGGAACCAAATGGTCGTTGTTCATGAATGTCGCCAGAAACTCGGTTAGGGCGGTATCGTTTTAAGTTGAAGATTTCTTATTATTCTTTAAGAGTATGGATATAGTGCTTTATTACAATAAATAATTAGTTTTCCTAGTACAACCATTTGTAGTTCTTTGTTTATCATTAATTGTTTATTCTCTATTTTATAATTTTTTTTTTTTTATTTTTCTCCATTTATTTACAATAACAGGCGTTTTTAATCAAATTTTCACGGTCTCTTGAGTTTTCATCTAAAATGAAATTATTTCATCTTTCTGCGAAATTTAGGAAAAGCGTAAATTATTATTTATTTCATAGTTTTCATATACTCGTAATATTTAGATTGGATTTTTACTTTCTCTTGTCAACAGAAATTGATAAATGAAAATATGATTTTATTAATTCATATAACGTATACAACGCAAAAAACGCAAACAACGCAAGTACGCAAACAACGTATCCAAGAGATTGAAAAGACAGACATTTCCAATAGAAAAATCGTTCGATGTGTAGTAACACTCTTAAACTAGTTAGGTGCCTCCTTCGGATATGTCAATGGAAAATATATTTAAAAAAATGTATAACAAATTGTAAACGTGTTAATATATGTAATGATTTACGATAAGGATTTGCAGTTGAGCATATGAAAATCAAAACTGAAACGAGTAATTAATTTTAAATGAAGTTTTGAGATTTTATCTCAGCCATATTACAACTATTTTTCTTGTGTAGCAGTTTATTACGCGAGGCAACAAACTTATTTTTAGATGAAATATAAAATAAATTTAAATAAAAAAAAAATTGTAAAAAACTTAGATAAACTTTAATACAATCTCAGTATTCATGCTCTTTTTATAGTTATATTACAAAAATCATTTATTATTATTATAATATATTCTAATAACTACTAATAAATCCTACATATAAGAATTGTTTTTTTCACAGTCACTTATAAATTCATTTTGCTATTGTATTCAATACTATATTCAAAATATTTTTTGGTTCAAGAAACAAATCCATTTTCAACATATGCCTTGTATTCCAGCACCAAAGAAAAGTCTTGAAAATAAGTTTTGGTCAAAAAATTTTTAAACAGAACGTTTTTATTTCATTATATACTTCAACTAAAAATGTTTTTGGTCCAACGAATTTCGATAGCGCTCGCCATTTACCATAACGACAGCTCCTTTCTTATTTCGAAAGAAATAAGGACCGAAGATGCCGCTAGCGTGTCAACCGCACCAAACAGTCAATTTAAATGGATGTTATGGTGATGTGTTAACGATTTGTGGATTATCTGTGCTCCATGTACAGCAATTTTGCTTATGGACGTATGATGACCGTAAAATGAATGAAGTGCTCACAGAACTTCGCGAATAGATTTATTTTATTCAAAGTAAAGTACATATGCTCTACCATAAGAACCTTCTGCATCGTAGAGTTTAGCGCCCTATAGTTTTCAACACAATTAGTGTTAAGTGATGTTGCAACCCCAAATTCATAGCAAGTTTTTTTTGTTACTAACATTTTGTAATTACAATATTATAGTATTCAATATTTAACTATTTTTTTATATAATACTCAAATGATTTCACCGCAAAATATAAAGTAGCCATATTTTGCGAGTGCAACTTATTATTACTAAAGTTATAAGTTGCAGCTACTAAGAAATTAATATTAGATATTAAAT